TATCTCGAGTTTTTTTGTATCATGCGCCATCTTCTCAAACGATACTTAAGTGGCGGAAACACATTTTTTTTCAAATAAATACTAGGAAATAAATTCAAGGAACAGTCAATAAACAAAAACTTATTTAAAAAATTAATTTTTTTTCCTTACACTTTCTTAAACGTTAATAATCGACAAAAAACAAAACAGTTTCTATAATTGTATAAAAATAATACATATAATTACATTAAACAAATCTATTTCGTGCGACTGTTAAATAAATATTATTCAGCGAGCTATGCAGTACGTGGCACTCGATTGGTACACAAGTCGCAGTGAAGTAAGAAGGGAGGGAATAGTTACGACAAATTCGGCTCCCTACGAGGAACGGGATCAGCAAAATGAGTCGGATTTCTTAGTTAAAATTTAAACGTCTATACAGGGTGATTCAGGCATAATGTCATTAATTTTAACCGCGTATTCGGGAAAACTCGTATTCAACATAGTGAAAACGTTAACAATATTAAAAATACTAAATTGAAATAACGTAACATTCGAAAACAATTATTATCCTTATACTTTTGTTTTTATTAACAAATAAATACTTGTTAATATTTAAAATGTAAAAATGTATCTTATTCATTCACGTGTCTAGATAAAAACATCTGTTTATTCGTTGTAGTTCACTACGGATTAAAAACGCATTAAAAGCTAGGCTACTGACCCAATATTGCGGCAGGTCAAGATTCACTCTCGATAAACCTTTGTGGGCCAGCGGTCAGAAGCCGTTCGAAAAAGGGTTTAAATAATTATTTGAAAGTCTTCTTTTCGGCACAAAGATGCATTTTAAAATGTTTTTTATTATGTTTTCATATTCTACTTATTTTTTCTTGTCTTTCCTTACAATTAATAACATTATGACTGAATCACCCTTAAACTCTCAATGTGTAAATACCACAGTAGTACGCAATAGTTCGCTCTATAAAAAAAATAATGTACATCTATTTTGCTCTAGTTCTTTTGTTCCTAATATTGTTGCAAAAAAAAAACTATTAATTATACAGGCTGTTACAAATTCGCTTCCCACTACATTGATCTCGGAAACGGTAAGAGATACGAACTGGCTTAAATGGGGGCAAAGTTGTGTAATCAGGGGATCAACATTATGCCTCTAAAAAATCAATCTGATTTAGTTTTCGAAATATTTGAAAAAAAACGAAATTTTTATGTGACGTTTCGTCCTGCCAGGATCATCATCAACTTCATTTTTTAAATACGGCTCTGGAAATTTTATTAAATTTTTTGCAAGCCTTCATGACCCCCCAATACTGTACTGCCTCAGCCCGAACCAGATTCAGACGTTATGTCTTGAAAAATTAATCTTCATTATATTCGTTTTTTTATCTAATTTTTTTTATTTAGACGAGACTAATAGTTTAAGTAACTAGGTGGATCTTACAGGGTCTAACGACACTTACAGTGTGTAATAATTCAAGAAAGATGAAACGTTACATATTAAAATTGACTAACCCCTTCGATAGAGGGCAAAAAGTTTTGCATTTTGCACATTTTGATATACACGATTAGGATTCACACTAAATATTGGTAATACAATAGGATATATTTTTAGACATGGACAAAACAGGCGCATATTACAATGTATGTATATAGGGGTGTCTCAAGGTAACGGGCCATTAGAATTATTTGGACATCAACTTGCTTATTTTAAATGGAACACCCTGTATATTATTGCAATTTTGGATTCTACGTGTTATTTTCCCTATTCCTAAAATTAACAGTTTTCGAGATATTCAATTTTTTTCTAAAAAAAATTGGGAGAAACAGTGACTAGCTTCAGACCATGTGTATTTTATGGTAAGAAAGATAAAGCAACAATATTTATGGGGGCATAGCTAGACCCCTAAGCTTCCCATCCATACTTTCAAAGTGGCTTAACATGCAGTTAAGCCAGGGTGCTAGATACAGATACAGGGTGCTAGAAATTTAATGCCGAGTTTAGTTAACTTCAAAAGTTATGTCGGTTTTTTAAATGGGTGTTCCATTTAAAAGTTAGAAGTTAGTTTAGAAGTTTTCCTAAAAATTCCAATAGGGAACCCTGATACCGTTCGAAAGAGAATAAAACTGTGTACCACAATATAGAAAAATTTTCAAAATTCAAAATCGAAGTAGTCCCTGAAACAATTCTAATGGGCCGTCACGGTGAGACACCCTGTATTAATACACCTGGTTACAGAAGCGCATGAAAACTTGTTGATGTTTACATTTTGCTTCAATTCAAATATTTATAGGCAGTGTCTAAAATGCCCTAATTTTTGTCTGTACCTCAATCGTACATCAATTGATGGTTCTTCAAAAATTTCATTGCACTAGTGAAGACTTTCTATACTTCAACACGTGATATTTTATACCATTCCTGTATTTGGATTCGTAATCGCAGTTATTACACTAGTACCTTTAGAACTTGCACAGCATATTTGTTTGAGTTGATGCCGCTGGAGATGCTGCTTGTATTTACTTTCTAAGGGGCAGTTGTTACACTTGTATGTCTGGACCTAAGAAGGATTTTTATGCTTCAGTTGGTGGTGTATGATACCTCTCCTGTATCTAGTTTTGTAATCGCAGTTTTCACACCCGTACATTTGAACCTGCGAAGGATCTTTATGTTTCAGTTGATGCTGTTTCAAATAACTCTTGAATTTAGTTTCAAAATCGCAATCGTGACACCTGTACATTTGAATCTGTGAAGGATCTTTATGTTTCAGTTGATGCTGTTTGAAATAANTTTAGACGAGACTAATAGTTTAAGTAACTAGGTGGATCTTACAGGGTCTAACGACACTTACAGTGTGTAATAATTCAAGAAAGATGAAACGTTACATATTAAAATTGACTAACCCCTTCGATACAGGGCAAAAAGTTGCGATGAGAAAGTGTCCTTCTTTTTTCATATCACCTCGAACGAGACTGAAATGAAACAAAATCAGATTTCCAAAATTTCGTTTTTTTTTTTTCAATTATTTTGAAAATTAATCATGGTTACCCTTGATTTTTTAGAGGCATAATGTTGGTCTCCTGATTATGCAACTTTCCCCCATTTAAGCTAGTTTTTATCTCTTATCGTCTCCAAGATTCCTGTAGTGAGAAGCAAATTTGTAACACCCTGTATATTCTACAAAGTAAATTGTATCATTATTTGAAACACATTTTGATATACACGATTAGGATTCGCCCTAAATATTGGTAATACAATAGGATATATTTTTAGACATGCGACAAAAGAGGCGCATATTACAATGTATGTATATGGGGTGTCTCACGGTGACGGGCCATTAGAATTATTTGGCCAACAACTTGCTTATTTTAAATGGAACACCCTGTATATTATTGCAATTTTGGATTCTATGTGTTATTTTCCTTATTCCTAAAATTAACCGTTTTCGAGATATTCAATTTTTTTTCTAAAAAAATGGGGAGAAACAGTGACTAGCTTCAGACCATGTGTATTTTATGGTAAGAAAGATAAAGCGACAATATTTATGGGGGGCATAGCTAGACCCCTAAGCTTCCCATTCATACTTTCAAAGTGGCTTAACATGCAGTTAAGCCAGGGTGCTAGATACAGATACAGGGTGCTAGAAATTTAATGCCGAGTTTAGTTAACTTCAAAAGTTATGTCGGTTTTTTAAATGGGTGTTCCATTTAAAAGTTAGAAGTTAGTTTAGAAGTTTTCCTAAAAATTCCAATAGGGAACCCTGATACCGTTCGAAAGAGAATAAAACTGTGTACCACAATATAGAAAAAATTTCAAGATTCAAATCGAAGTAGTCCCTGAAACAATTCTAATGGGCCGTCACGGTGAGACACCCTGTATTAATACACCTGGTTACAGAAGCGCATGAAAACTTGTTGATGTTTACATTTTGCTTCAATTCAAATATTTATAGGCAGTGTCTAAAATGCCCTAATTTTTGTCTGTACCTCAATCGTACATCAATTGATGGTTCTTCAAAAATTTCATTGCACTAGTGAAGGCTTTCTATACTTCAACACGTGATATTTTATACCACTCCTGTATTTGGATTCGTAATCGCAGTTATTACACTAGTACCTTTAGAACTTGCACAGCATATTTGTTTGAGTTGATGCCGCTGGAGATGCTGCTTGTATTTACTTTCTAAGGGGCAGTTGTTACACTTGTATGTCTGGACCTAAGAAGGATTTTTATGCTTCAGTTGGTGGTGTATGATACCTCTCCTGTATCTAGTTTTGTAATCGCAGTTTTCACACCCGTACATTTGAACCTGCGAAGGATCTTTATGTTTCAGTTGATGCTGTTTCAAATAACTCTTGAATTTAGTTTCAAAATCGCAATCGTGACACCTGTACATTTGAATCTGTGAAGGATCTTTATGTTTCAGTTGATGCTGTTTCAAATAACTCTTGAATTTAGTTTCATAATCGCAATCGTGACACCTGTACATTTGAACCTGTGAAGGATCTTTATGTTTCAGTTGATGCTGTTTGAAATAACTCTTGTATTTAGTTTCGAAATCGCAATCGTGACACCTGTATATTTGAACGTACGAAGGAACTTTATGTTTCAGTTGATGCTTTTTGAAATAACTCTTGTATCTAGTTTTATAATCGCAATCCAGACACCTGTACATTTGAATCTGCGAAGGATCTTTATGATTCAGCTGATGCTTTTCGAGATTTCTCCTGTATTTAGTTTCGAAATCGCAGTCCTTACATCTGTACATTTGAACCTGCGAAGGATCTTTATGTTTCAGTTGATGCTGTTTGAAACGTCTGTTGTATCTAGTTTTGTAATCGCAGTCGTTACACCTGTATGGGTTTTTATGTTTCATTTGGTGTCGTTTGATATTACACTTATATTTATTTTCATAATCGCAATCGTTACACCTGTACGGGTCTTTACGTTTCATTTGGTGTCGTTTGATAGCATTCATGTATTTAGTTTCGAAATTGTAATCGTGACACCTGTACATCTCAATCTGCGAAGGATCTTTATGTTTCAGTTGATGCTGTTTGAAATGTCTGTTGTATCTAGTTTTGTAATCGCAGTCGTTACACCTGTACGGGTTTTTATGTTTCATTTGGTGCCGTTTGATATAACACTTATATTTATGTTCATAATCGCAATTGTTACACCTGTACATTTGAATCTGCAAAGAATCTTTATGCTTCAACAGGTGCTTCTGAAGTAATTTCTTATTTTCAGTTTTGTACTCACACGATGCACATTCATATGCTCTCAAATTGTTCTCATGTCTCTCACAGTGTACCGTAAAACGGATCTCACTTCCAGATTCATAGATACATTTATCACATTTGTACAATACTTTGCGCTCCTGCTTGGTTTTCGCTTCTGATCCATTCTCATGTTTACATCTATCCTGTTCTTCATTTTTACAGTCACTCTCCTCGAATGGTACAATATCGGAGGTCTGAAGTGGCGTGTCGCTGAAAAAATTGCATATACAGAGTAGTTTTCAAAATCAGATATTAATTTTAAGGGGTTATGACCATAATTGAATCAACCATAGTACTGATAGCACAATTTTAACTTTAATGATGAATCGATTCAATCTTTGATAATATATTTAATTATCAGAGAAGGCATTTGCGAGATGCTATGTAAACAGTCACACAATAAATCCATAAACAAAGTCAGATACAGATAATTGAAAAACAATCTACAAGAGCATTATTTATAAATTTATTAAACTTTAATCTAATCCCAGTATATCACCTTTTTTTGTTTGTCAACGTTTTTTAGTTTTTGTTTTTTACCTTATCACAAATTTCAATATACCAGTCACAGAAATTAAAGGACATAAAGAAAATACTAAAATTTTAGGTGATTTTCGAAAAGTTGTAACATGGCGAAAAATGTTCGTAAAGCAATAAAAAAAGCAAATTGGAGCTTGAAGGTTCTAGTATGAGGATCTGAAAGTCAAAAATTTTTATCCTATATCAACTTTTAGAAATGAAAAGAAATCCCGGGAGATCATTTTTTTATAATTTTTGCCTCACTTTCAACAGGTCCACGCGTCTTAATATTTTTTTTTGGCAGTCCCACATGTCGTCTCTTTTAGTTTAATTCATCCTCTGTGATTTGAGCAGTTCAAGACCTTTATATGTATGGCTTTGATAATTAATTATTTAGGAAGTAATGGCCGTACAGAAAATCTAAGCAGAGTTTTGAAAAGTTCAGACTATCCTCCATAAGACGTTCTTATCGTTTTTTGATAAAAAAATTTTCCATACAAGAAACTCGATTCCAAAATTTGTTTATTTCAGGATTTTTGTTAAATCCGAGATTGATATTGAAGAGGTGTCCGTTTTCTTTCACCTCAAAATAATCCAAAAAATCCTGTATGCTCCGCGTACAATGTGTTTCCTTGTCGTGGGGATACGGCCACATAACAGCTGGATCGTTCGACGGTTGTCTCACCTATGGCACACTGATGTGGACTAGTAAGTCCGAAACGATCCTAGCTGTTGCACTAGGTGTTGCGAGCATAATTCAGTGCCGGTCAGGGCATATAGCCCGTGGAGTAGTTGTTTCTCGCAACACTGACAATTAAAATCTGTCAAGAGTTCAAACGGCTGCGATTTTTCTTTCATCGTGAATTGTCAATTAAAGAATAAATTTTGCATCTTTAAATCATTTTTACTATATTGAAAATTTGTTTAGCAAAAACCTATATATTTTCTTCATCAAAAAATGAGATTAAAAAAAAATTAAAATTCAATTTTTTTTGGAAAATAAAATTCTTTTCGGAAATATATTATTTACAATATTCACAATGCTACACAGTTGTCAGATGTGCTTTCTTTTGAGTGCAAACGTCAATCTAAAAGTCGCTGTATCTCCTTCCTCAAATCTCGGATACTTACCGAGTTCTATAGCTCACACATCGTTTTCATGAGCTTTAATACCAAGAAAAACAGTATTTTTAATTAAACTAACCGAAAGATCTTCTCTGTATATTCCAAAAAAAAATAAATAAATATTTTTTGTCTGACGAGCATTTTTTCAAGATATTTTTATTATTTGAATTAAATCAATACTTTCCTCCAAAATTCTTTCAAAACTAATTTTGGGCAAGAATGACTGAAGGCCACTGATTTTCTTCTTGCAATCTGCTTACATAACCCCCAATTATTTTGTAACCCCGTAAAAGATCTATCCTTTTCATTCAAGAAAATTTCAATTTCTGCCCAAAGTTAAAAAATTGATTGAATGAATGGAATTTAGTGTAGCATTCTTTGTACCCATGTATGATTCGAAGCCATACAATTGTTTTATAACGATCTTACATATATTCCCAATAATTTGTTAACCTAACGCTTAACGATTATATAAAAATTTATACGATATCGTTTATAACGGACAATCTCATAATTTGTTACAATTAGTTTATCAGCAGATGGTACGTATTTAATCATATAAATGTTAAAATAGTCTTCTCTTACCTCCTTTCCTCATCTTCCGATTTTATGTCAACAGATTCAGCTTTAATCGACATTTCCATCTCGTTAATATTGAATTCCTTGTCCAGGTTTTCAGTCTTCACGAATAAACCAAGTGGAGACGTATCTATTTGACTTCTTGTGGCCGAGCTATCAAAAATACTTTTAATGTTTTCCCCTACATCCAAGCAATCTTTCAGGAAACTATTGTGAGTACACAGAGAATCCCAGCATGGCTTACATACAATGGGACCTTTGATGATATTTATATTCTACAAAGCAGTTTTGTTAAATTATAAAATATGCAAGTATCTAATATCGTTCCTACCATTTCAGGTGTCAATTTCTGAATAGCTTCAAGTTCCTCTTCACGTATGCACCTAAACTCACTTTCTACTGGGTGCATACACAATCGACATATTTTCTGACTGCAAACTAATTCACTTTTCTTTTCCTGCATGTACACTTCTCTTAAGTCGAGCTGTAACATTTTTTCGCTATCCACATAAGGAATAATTATACTGCTACTGCTACAG